AAAAAAAAAAGGGGGGGGGGGGGTTGGTTGGTTGGTTGGTTGGTTACGATCAAGCAAGAGAAGAAGGAAGAAGAGAGGAAAAAAGGAAAAAAAGGAGAGTCGATAGCTGAAAGTGACGACAGTAAAAGTAGACTGTTGTCTCTTGATACTAAAAACACACACGCACGCACACAACACACAGGCTGTATTCCTCACCGTCAAGCTACGATACACTTGCATGTAGCTCAATGCCGTGGTGCCATCTTATCTGCTCCAGGCATTTCCCGACAGAGAGAGAGGAGAGAAACTCATGTTTACGGATAGATACCTCTGTTCTTCATCATCGCCACAACTGGCGTCGTACATGTAGATTCATCAAGGTTTTTCCAAGCTCATCATCACACACATCTCCACATGTCCGTCAAGAGATCGATCAAGTTTATATGTGATGATGATGATACGTACGTGACGACTATCAGAAATAACACGGGTCGTATATACGTTGATCAGCAGAACCGAAACCCAGGAACATATGAGGAAATGACTTCTCCCCGAGAAAGAGTCGCATAGACGAAGAGGAAAGAAAGAAAGGAAACGAAGAAGAAGAAGAGAGGGGGGATAGTAGGTGGTTACCGCCTCTCCCTCTTCCAGTACCCGCTGTCCTTGTTCCCCCCGCGGTGTCCACCCTCGTCCAGATGTTCGATGGACCGGCAGCCGGGGTTGAAGTGGTCATTCTCCTGGCCAAACGGCCACATGGCGACGAACTCGACCTCCCCCTCCGGGCACCTAGCCTTCCTGGCCCACTCCGTCCAGTCGAGCCTGCCCATGAGGGAGCGCAGCAGGTCGCGGCCCGTCTCGAAGCCCTCCAGGTCGGCGTCCCACCGGAAGCCGTCCTCGTCCGCCGTGGCGGCCTGTGCGGCGGCGGCGTTCGTGAACGAGGCCCGCATGTCGAACAGGCCGAGGCAGATGTCCTCCATGGTGGACGTCACGGCCGTGTGGATCAGGTCGTCCTCGAGGCTCCACCCGTCGGCCCGGACCGACTCGGGCACGGTGTAGTGCTCGACGCACCGGACGATGGCGCGCTCCGTCTCGCGGCCGCCCTCGTCGTCGGGTCCGGGTGCGGCCGGGGCGTCGACGTAGACGAGCGTGGCCCTGTCGAGCTCATCCTTGAACTGGGCGACGGTGACGGCGTCCGACGCCATGAAGGAGAAGCTGTGGGCGAACCGGGCGACGATCAGGTCCACGACGCCCTGCCAGTCGACGTGGAACCGGCGCGGCGCCCTGGCCACGCCGGCGAAGTAGTCCCTGATGTCGCGCAGCTCCCGGGGCGTGGCGGCGCCCAGCCGGCCCAGGTCGGGGCGGCCCGGCGTCGTGCTCGACGTGTTGACGGGGAAGAAGTAGCCCGACACGGTCGAGGAGAAGTCGATGCGCATGCGGCCGCCCACGCCGTCGTACCGCTCCGCCACCGCCCTGACCCACTGGAAGGCCCCCATCGACCCGGGGCCCAGCTGGTCGCGCTGCTCGTGCGACCGCGTGACCGACACCAGGTCCAGGCCGTCGCTGAAGTCGCAGTAGACGATCTCGAAGCCCACCTCCAGCCGGGCGAAGCCGTCGTAGCCCCACGGGTGGATCAGCTCGCAGATGTCGTCGGCCCGCTGCCGCTCGTTCATGACCGGCCCGCCCGCCCTGCCGAGGAGGAGCGCGTCCTGCGTGTCCAGCGTGCCCATGTCCGTCTTGCCGGCGGACATGCCGTCCAGGTAGATGAGCTTCAGGTCGCGGTTGGCCCGGTACATGTGCAGGTAACCCTGGTGGAGGGGCTCGTCCGAGTCGTCGTCGGGGCCGGAGCCGCCTCCCTCCTTCCCGGGGCCGCGGTGGTGCCGGCCGTCGTCGTCGTCGTCGTCTCCGTGAGGGGGGCTCAGCGGCTTCTGGGAATCGCGACGGGAGTGGGGCTCCTCGGGAGGGGGGGGAGGTCCGTGGGGGTGGTGCTCTCCGGGCGGCGGGCCCCGAGGCCACCATCCCGACGGCGGTCCGTGAGGGCCACGTCCGTCGGAGCCGTGTCCCTCCTCGACCCGAGGCCCCTCGGCGTCAGCGCCCTCGAACGGCGGGGGAGGCCCGGGAGGGTGATGCTCCCCGTGGGGAGGACGGTCATGATGCGGGGGTCCGCCAGGGCCGCGTCCCTCGGGGTGGTGTCCCTCGGCGGAAGGCGGCCCGTGAGCCTTGGGAGGACCGTCATGGGGCGGATATCCACCAGGACCGGGAGGCTTCCCGGCCGGAGGAGGGCCGCCACCGCGACCGGGAGGGCCACCGCCAGGTGGCAGCCTTCCTCGACGGCGGCGGCCACGGTACGTCCCGCCGAACCCCTGGGCGTGCTCGACCTCGAAGGCGAGCCACTCGGGGTTGGTGGGCGCATCGGGCTGGTGGGTGCCGTGGTAGGTGACGGTGCCCTTTGGCATGACGGCCGGGTACAGGCCGAAGCCGTTGTGGCGCAGGCTCGAGCCCCACTGGCGGCCGGCGGAGTGGACGGCGTTGAAGATGTGGTGGGCGTTGGCCTTGGCAGCGTCGTGGTCCGGCTGGATGGGTTGGACGGGTGAGGAGGAGGAGGAGGAAGGTGTCGTGGCCGCACCTGCTGAGGCTAAGCCTAGCAGCGGGAGCAGTTGGGCCAACAGCATGATCTGATGCGATGTCGGATGATGATGCGGAAGCAGCCCAGGTTGAGAGGCAGAAGACAAGATGTGAGGGGGGTTTCTCGTTCAATAAAGAAGAGAGAGAAAAGAGAAGAAGGAGAAGGGAAGGAGAAGGGAAGGAGAAGGAGAAGGAGAAGAAGAGTGAGAGAGACAGTTGCACGTACTGATATTAATTAACCATCACCTTGAGGGAGTTTTCTTTTTCTTCTTCTTTTTTCCCCCCGGTCTTCTTGGTAAATCCCCCTATACCCTTAAAAGACAGAATATTTCCCCGTGGCCGCGTCACCATCATGTGTTGGGTCTGGTTATCTCCGGCTGGTCGAGCTCGGTCTTCGGCAGAGTAAGCGTCGCCTATAGCGTCGCTTGTCCCGCCCACTATCATGGACCATGTCCCCGTGGTCCCATGTCCGTGGTCCGTCAGATATCTGATCTCTTCATCCGGTGCGAGGACACGCCCAGGCCCATTGGATCATTCACCTTGGTCCTCGGTCTTGTACGGGGAATTCATCAAGAATTCAACGAGTGACCGCCATCTTTTTTCGGTTATTCTCTCTTCTTTCCGTCGTTCTCACGAGCCAAAAGACGTTGCTGTGTATTAACACTCTCTATATTATATGCAGTACCTGATCCAAGTGTGCCAGTAGTGCCAGTAGCCCAGACAAGCCCCCTTGGCATGCTTACTGGGCGCTTGCGTAACGTCAGTGTCATTTTACGGATCGGCAGACGTGATAACATCTGATCTTTTCAATAATAATAATAACAACACAATAAAATAAAAAAATCCTCTCTTATATCTTCTAAACCTCTCCTCTATCCCAGCCTCTGTCCTCTCTCTCCTGAACACTACCTCCAAGCCATGCGGCCAAGGCTTCGTGATGGATGGTAATGCACCGTCGTCTTCCTCCCTGATCATCTGGTCTCGAGAGTCTCCATCGTAACAGGCGGATGCAATCGCCGAGGAATCCACCCCGGCAGTCGTATCCGCTCTCAGGGTCTGTCAATCATTCGTCAACTCCCCCAAGTACGCGTGGCTCCTCCAGGTGGCCCAGGGGCCGGGCCACATGATACGTAACTCGTATTGGTTCCTCGTCCGGTCCGTCATGACGGGCACGATGCGATGCACAGAAATGCATTCCACCCCGGATGAGCGCATGTATCGAATGCCGTGCTACCACCTGTGGCCGTGCTCGTACATGCACCCGTAGGCCGTCATCCTTCCTCGACGTCTCAGCCAGGGTAGAGATGATCTGAACGGTGAATGGGCTGTTCCTGACCTGATCGGTTCTCCGGTTCTATGTCTAGGTTCAATACGTCGCCCGTCTATTCAAGTATGCCGATGTCGGCACATGCATCTGCACAGCTCCGGCTCGTCCCGCATCGAAGGCAGAGGGTAATACGGTATATGTTCCTGCAGCAGATACAGCCTCATTCCTTGGTTCAACCTCGGATCATATGCAGAGGCGACAGAGGAATAGAAGAAGAAGAAGATGTCTCGTTTTTTTTTTTTGCATGTGAAGAGGAGGAGTCAGAGTACAGTATTATCGAGACTAGAGTATTGCTCTGTCAAGGGTATATGTATAACCAGACATGCTCTCCATGCACATGAAACCCATACGCACACGCACCGAAGGCACACGAGTCTCGCTCAGTGTGTCGTGTTGTTGGGGGGAGGTGGTATGTCGTAGGTCCACGTGTTCCTGCGTGCGTGTGCGTGCGCCTGTCCGTCCGTATGTCGTCTTCCACCATCTATTTCTCGAAACGCCTGGCGACGGTACCCCAGTTGATGACGTCCCAGATGGCGCTGAAGTACTCGGCCTTGCGGTTCTGGTACTGGAGGTAGTAAGCGTGCTCCCAGGCGTCGATACCCAAGAGGGGCTCGAGGTTGCCGGTGACGGGGTCCTGGTTGGGGCGGGTGACGACACCCAGGGTTCCAGACGTCTTGTCCTTGACCAGCCAGGCCCATCCGGAGCCCTGGATGCCGGCGAGGGCAGCGTTTGTCTGCTTCTGAAGGTTCTGGAAGGAGCCAAAGTCCTCATTGATGGCCGTCTTTTATTGTTGAGTTTTTTGTTTTTTTCAACACGTTCGTCAGCCACGCATTCGAGGTGGTGTGGGGGTGGGAGAGGGGAGGAGGAGACATATAGAGAGTGGGTAGGAACGAAAGCTAAAAATAAAAAATGAAATAAAATAAAAGAAGAAGAAGAAGAAGAAAAGGGGATGAGACATACCAGAAGCTTGCCCTCGGGCTCACCACCTCCACCCTTTCCGTGGGGTGCAAGGTTCTCCCAGAACAGAGAGTGGTTGATGTGGCCACCGCCGTGGAAGTTGAGGGCGGAAGCCTGGACGGCGGCGGCGGCGGCATCACCCTTGGCCTGGGCCTCGGCGACGGCCTCGACAGCAGCGTTGACGCCATTCACGTAGACCTGGTGATGCTTGGAGTGGTGGATCTCCATGATCTGACCGGAGATGTAGGGCTCGAGAGCGCCGTAGTCGTCTGTTGCGAACATATTGTCAGTATTCATACAATCGTCCCTGCTCTTTCCTGGCATTGGTCCATCCTCCTTCTCCCCCTTCTCCGCCCATCGTCTCCTCCGTCGTCTTCTCGAGATCGGTCCCGCGTCCGGAGGGGGGGGGGGGGGGGGGGGGGGGGGGGGGGGGTGCCTTACAGGGAAGGTCGGGAAGAGTAGCCTTCCCGCGGACGAAGCTGGTACTAGCCATGGCAGCAGGCCTGATGGCAGAGCTGGCGCGGAGACCTGCGCGCAGGGCGGGAGTCGTGCGGAGGAGAGCGGAAGCCATGGTTGCCGTTATGTGGTCGATTGTCTGGCGCGATTGAGGCTATCGATGACGAGGTAATTTCATCAGCTACCTTATCGCAAACAAGTCGCAGTGCTGCGCGTGTGCGTATTTGGCGGGAAACCCGAAGTGTTCTGAGAGGGAAAGATGGATGGGAAGGGGTAGAATGGCATACCGATTTGTCCCTGTAAAGATTGGGTTGGTGGTGGATGAGAGGGAAAGAAAAGAGGAGAGGAGGAGGGAGAGAGTTGATGATGTCAATCACTGGAGAGCTCGGCAACTCGAAACGTTGGCGGCCCTGGACAGGTCTACTTTAGACTGCCAGTCGCTGAGAACAGCTCTGCGTCATGGGCCCGGGGCCCACCGCTTCCGTCGGTCCTGCTTACCCTGCATAGCCGAGGGCGGAGTGATTTACGACCCCTCGCGATTCCTTCTTGTTCTTTCCCCCTCTGTTGTGTGAATCCGGGCATTTCTACATCTTTCGATCGATCGAGATCTTACCGCTTTCCCTTGTTTCTTCCCTGTGCCTACTAATCCTTCTATCCTGCCAGCATTGGTGAAGGGAGCTTCAACTTGACTGTTTTTTGTTTTTTTTTTGTTTTTTTGTTGCCCCGGAAATAATTGGATACCTTGACTAATTAGCCGAGGAAACCTTCACCCACGTTGACCGCATTACCAAGCAGACCTCATCAATAGTAGTGACCTGTCTGTCCGTTCGTCGGCCATCGGATAGCGAATGAGCGCGAGCTGCTATCCTGTGAGCGAGGTATTCCTCCCAGCAGGCATCAGTCGCACGCATGTACTCTCAAGTCCAAGCCGAACCTGGGGGACGAGCTGATCGTAAAGATACAGATAAGAATGATTTCAACGACCAAGATGAAACTGGAGCATTCGTGATCTCACGATTTCATGATTCTAGGGAATATGTGATGTATTTTTGTCTGTACCCGTTGAGCGTAGGTCCGTATATCGTATTACATAACGTGGGGTCCTAGGTTGTGGCGGGGGAGGGGGCGGTGATCGCCTTCTTCATTCACGTCAAGCAGAGGGACGTGACCAAAACCGTGACAGGCTTCAAGAGATGCACGGGATAGATCAATCATGTCATATTACGATGTCGATTCCATCCTGACTGATGGTGAGGTAAGTACTCTCCCACCCACCCACACACATGCACGCACTTCTCTCCTTCTACTCCCTCCCCTTCCCCTCCACCAGCTAACCTTTGGCCTCCCCTTCCAGAAAGTACCGTGCACTTTCGAGCTCGACGTCCCCTACCTAGGCCACCTGGACAATAGTTCGAGCGGTCTCAAGCCGGGAACCGACATTACCCTCCCCCTCTGGCTGGCCGAGATGCTCGCGCTTGCCTCGTCGGGCGACGACTCCAAGGCCCCCCTGACGCTGCACATGCCGTCCTGCCTGTCCGAGTCGGTCATGGCGGCCCTGCGCGCCGACCCGCGCTCCGTCCCGCTCCGCGACCAGAGCGTGCACATGTACGGCGTCGGCGTGCGCATGCTGGACCTGTTCGACGAGGCCGAGCTGGCCGCCGTGCTGCGACGGTCCTTTGTTGTCAGGGCCGCCGACGTCGGACTCCACGCTCGCAAGGCCGACGAGGGTATCGGGCTGGGCAGCCAGCAGGAGGAGTTCCTGCGCGGTCTAGATGAGTGGGAGAGGGGGCTGTTCCGACGCGCGCACGAGGGTATCAAGAGTGCTAAGGGGTGGTCCGATAAGGTGAAGAAGGGTTAGGTACCGGGTCTGATTTTTCTTTACTTTTCTGGTCTTACCGCGTTGGCGTCTGTGGTAGACGCACACACTGTTCTATTCTGTACATGACTGAGATGAATGCAACACGTCGAATATGGATGCCGTCGGGACTCATTGGAATTGTATGTCCGCATAGCGTTTGGCGGATGCACCAATCTTGCCACCTCAAACACACACACACACACACACTCTCTCTCTCTCTCTCTCTCTCAACCCACATACTGAATATCAATGCGGGGGTCAACAATGGGAATCTTTACGGAGTGATCGAGCGTAATCTCATTACACGATAGTGCCGTGCGATAAGAAGAAAAAAATCCTGGGAACCGGCGTCCTCCGATCGGTACGTCCCTACGATACGATGGATAGATAAGAAATCAATGACACTAGCCCAAGTATAAGACGTAAGCAACTCACTCCTCTCTTCTCCGAACAGCGTCTTTCTCTCTCTCCTCTTTTCAACACTGGCCCATTCTATTCCTCCTCACCAGCATCACTGCCCAGTTCCATCGCACGTCATGTCGGACATCAAAGTCACACCTCTGGCCCCCCCATCCGGCTCAGACATACATTTTGGAGCCACCGTCACCAACGTCGACGTCGAAAAGTTGACTGGTAAGATGATATATCCACGAATGATGAATTTTGATTCTCCTTGAAAGAAGACGAAGAGGAAGAAGAAGAAGAAGAAGAAGGGAAAAGGGAGATCACCCGTAAAATCGGTAACCTCCTGGGGTAAGACAAACCATACACTCCATACATGCAGAGGAAAAAAAAAAGAACACAAGAATCAAGACTGACATTCACAAAAACCCCCTGCCCTAGACTCCGACTTTGACATCCTGCACTCCGCTCTGTTCAAGCACCAAGTCCTCATCCTCAAGGGCCAATCGCACGTGTCCCCGGCAGCGCAGTACGCCCTGACGCAGCGGTTCGACCCGTCAGCCGCCGGGTCTTACGGGCACGGCAAGACGGTCGACGCCAAGCGGTCGGTCCTGCACCCGGATCTCAAGACGATCCCGCACCAGCCGCAGGTGCAGGTGATAGGCAACGGGTTCGTGCCGTCGTACGAGGGCCTGACGGACGTGCAGCTCCGCCACCCGCACCACCGCACATTCCACGAGACCGTCATCCCCGACGCCGACGACCTGGACTATACCCGCTTCTACAGGTGGCACATCGACGCAGCGCTGTACGGGCTCGCGCCGCCCGTCGCCACCACCCTGCTGGCCGTCAGGGTGCCCAAGGGCAGGACCCAGGTGGTCCGCTACGACGACGGCACGGGCGACGAGCTCTCCGTGCCGCTGGGCACCACCGCCTTCGTCGACGGCAGGGACATGTACGCCTCCCTCGGCGAGGAGGACAGGCTCCTCGCCCGCACCACCCGCGTCGAGTACGCCGCCCACCCCTACATCTGGATGTCCACGGCCAAGTCCCGCCCCACCGGCCTCGGCATGGTCAGCCGCGGCCTGGAGCTCGCCGACGACGAGCTGCCCGCCGTCGAGACGGACAAGATCCAGATCCTGCCCATGTGCTGGAGGAACCCCGTCACCGGCGAGCTGTCCCTCCAGATCCACCCTTCGGCCGTGCGTCGCCTGCACCTCGCCGACGGCTCCGTCGTGGACGACCTCGAGCAGGTCAGGGATATCGTCTACCGCCTCCAGAGACCGGGTATCGCCCCTGCCAAGGTCTACCCTCACGACTGGGAGGAGGGCGACCTCGTCATCTTCCACAACAGGGGTGTTCTGCACTCGGTCGTCGGCGCTTTCGCTCCGGACGAGGTCAGGTTGTTCCGACAGTGTAACATCGCCGGGAGCTCCTTGCCTGTCGGGCCTGATGGTGTGACGGTCTAATGTGCTGTGGTGGAGCTCTACCGTCTTTCACTGCTACTTCTTGGCTTGGTGTTGCCGTCTCTGTGCTTTATGCGAACCAGAATGTATAACTGTCGTCTTTCACCCTTTTTGTTTCAATGCCTGTCCGTTTGTGTCTCTACGAATAACAACGAATATCAAAATACATGCCATCTTCATAATTAAATATAGAACAATGCTGTGTCAGACGAATAGAGTAATCAGCCTGTGACATCCGAAGCCAGAACCTATATGAAAATAGATATACCCGTAGTATATCCCCTGGTGTCAACCATGCAATGACTTCTATAGTACAAGAAAGGATATTCCCAAATGATAAACAATGCAGATCGCCCTGATGCCGGTCGTCACGGTATAAAAATAAACCCAACATGAGAAGGAAAGGAAGAAGAAAGGAAGAGAGAACGCCACAATGCATCGCCATGCAAAATCGTAAGAATCATAAATGTAACAGTCGTAATCGTAACACATGACCCCACCAACTAAGGTGATGGCAGGCCAGTAAACGTTTATGTGGTCAAAACACACACATATCATCCGCGATCTATACCAGGTCCACGGGACATGAAAGATGCCAATGCCAGAAGAAGCAGATGGGGAGATGGGGAGGTTTTCGGTAGAGCCAGTAGCCAAGAACTCTCCTCCCTCCCCTCCCCTCCCCCCACATCACTTCTCTTTTTGGGGTGCCGTCCCATTCCTTTGATATATATCCATCATGATGGATCACGCTGACGGTCAAGCCCTCATCTTCGTGAGAAAGATAGAGCAGAAAAGGAAATGTTGGCAGGAAAAAAGAAGTACTCGTCGTATCGTCGTATCTTCCAATAACGTAGCCCCCTCCCCCCCCCCCCCCCCCCTTAAAAAAATGGGGGAAAAAAAAAGAAAGAAAGAAGGAAGGAAAGAAAAAAGGGAAAGAAAGAAAGAAGGAAAGGAAGGAAAGAAAGAAGGAAAGAAAGAAGGAAAGAAAGAAGGAAAGAAAGAAGGAAAGAAAGAAGGAAAGAATGTAAGGAAAAGAAAAGAAGAGGAAAAGAAACAAGAAAAGAAAAAGAAAAGAAAAGAAAAAGAAAAAGAAAAGAAAAGAAGAGGAAAACAAAAAGAAAAGCAAGGAAACAAAAAGGCAAACAACCCGCAAACACCATTTCAGACAATGTCGTTGCAGAAAGAAGAATATAAAAGCAAGTACAACCCAGGACTAGAGTAGAAAAGGCACTCAGACATGCAACCACTCATATCAAAAAAGAAGAGTGCCCGTCGAACATTGACGGATCGCAGTCAGTGTCTGTCGGGTCCAGATAATGGTCAGGGAAGTCCATGTCCAGGGCCTGGTGCTGATCAAAAATCTCGGGCCAATACAACTCTTTGGGGATAAATAATGAGCCGTCATCGTGGGGCACGGGCGACATGACCACGGGTGCCGAGTTGCCAGCGTACCTAGGGCCGTCGTCGAAGACAGGCGCAGAAGGCTCCGGTCCGCCGATGTCGACGATCGGGGTATGTTGATAGGCCGGTGCCGTCCCGTGCGGCTGCTGAAGCCACATATCGAACAGGGCTCCACCGTCGGCGGCAGGGGCAGAGCCCCGGAAGGGGGAGTGCGAGGCATGGCGGTCCATCGGTGCAGGGCAGGGGCGGCTGCCCTGAGCGGTTTCATGGGCATGGCCGGCAACCGAGGCGTCGTCGCCGTTATCCGAGGCGTCGTCGCCGTTATCCGAGGCGTCGTCGTCGGGGCTGATGTTGCCTTCGTCCCCTTCCAGCGGCGTGGCCGTTTTGCCGGCACTCGGAATGGTGTCTTTAACATCTTTGATCCAGAGGCGGAGCTCGGTCATAGGAGGCTGGTCACCACCGGCCTTGCCACCGCGCCCTTGATTCTTCTGGGGGAACCGGTTGGGAATCCTGGGATTGAAGTGGATGCGTCTCAGATGCGCGGCGGCGTTGTAGTTTGCATTGTATTTCTTGCCGCTCCTGCAGCTGCGGCATCTATTCAGGGGCACGAGGGGAGTGAGGCAGCTGGAGCTGGTGGGCTCGCAGCAGATGTAGACGGTACGTTGAGACTCGTGTCTCGAACGCACGTGCCTTTGGAGCTCGTGGGTGCCACTGAAAAAGGCGGCGGGGGAGCAGATGGTGCAGAGCCTTCTCTTCGGACCACGCAGACCCCTGCCCCCCCTCCGGGTCTGCACATCGGGCTGGGGCGGGGCGGCGGCGGCGATGCCGCTTCCTTGGTGGGGGGGCTCGACTTCTTCCTCCCCGAAGATGTCTGTCATGGCCGAGTTGGGCGGCACCTGACCACCCGACACGCCGAGGTCACCCTCTAGGTCGAACAGGAGGCCGAGGCCTAGGGAGAGTCCGCTGGACCTGCTGACTTCGGAGGCCATCCTGCTCATCTCAGGAGGTCTAGGTGACCCGAGGGCGGAGAGGGCGGGTGCCATGATGCCGGGGCCCTCGTCGCCAGGTTCCCAGCCCGGTCGGACTTGGTCTTGCAAGAATGGGTTAGTACCGGCGCCATACAAGCACTGTTGCTGAATCGGATGCCCGTGCTGTCCGGAGGCTGAGCGAGCGATGGAACTCGACGAGAGCGTCCTGTCCATGGCCTGGCTAGAGGGCCACGGGGGATGAGCGGGGGTGTTGCCGGTGACGATACTGTAGAGTGTCGGGGGGGTGCCGATCGACTGGGCGTGGGGAGCCAAGTTCCCCATGGCACTGCTCTGGGGCGACATGAAGGCGGGCTCGTCGACGACCGATGAGCTAGACCGCGAACTTGCGTGCTGCTGAGGCCGTCCATGGTCGTGACAGTACGGTTGCCACGGGACTTGGCTCCTGGTCTGACTCAGGTATGTCTGACGCGGGTACTCTTCTGGATTCTGGCCCGGTTGCGTAGGTGTTCCTGGGCCGCAGCTGAAGCCAGACATGGGATCATGTTGATCGGCCAAGCTTGGGAGACCGGTCGGGGTACGGGCACTGGATATGGTTTCGTAGATACCGAACCCATGTGGCCCGGTAAGCCAGGTTCCCGATGTTCCAGCGGTCGGTGGCATCGGGAATGGATCTACGGCCTGGGGCTGGTCTCGAGGTATCTGATCGCACACCGTCAGTGTTGGGTCAGAAAGGATAGGGCGTACGTGTGTCTTGCTGAGGAGGAAGTGGTCGGGGAGGCGGCTTACCGTGTTCGCCGAAGGTACCTGTAGGAGTGACCTCGGAATGGCATGAGCTGCTGGAGCTGCCTGAAACGACGGGGAACGAGCCATGTGATGACGGCTGAGGGGAGCGTTGCCGGCAGCCTGTTGCCGGAGAAGGCGCTCTATCAGCTCCGGGTTGCCATCCATATCCTCTTAGGCGACCGGCGGGGGTTGAGCAACAATGATGACGGTGGTATTTTTGGGGGTGACGGCAATGTTGGTAAAGAATACCTGCAGTGAAGGACGTCTATATACCAAAAAGAGGTCCGAAATTTCCACTGGCAGAATGATGCAGTTGTGGGATAGAACCGATAGACAATGTAGGGGAGAGTGTGTGGGATATAACTGATGAACAAGGGAGGGGAGGATATGTATAAGAGTGAGGCTAAGGAAAAAAGAAAAAAAAACGGCGCCTAACGAGTGTCAAGCTAAAGCTAGGGGACGGGATACCAGAGAGTCATGTGCTAGCTACCGATGGCTCGAGAGAAAATGTATAAAGGGGACGGCTCTCTCTTAAAGTACCGGCATGTCTCAGTGATGAGAGGATGAGAAAGAAAGCAGTGTGGAGTGTGGAGGATCTGGAGTATAATATGTAAGAGAGGCATTCGGCCGTATGCTAAACTACTACTACTACTACTCCAGACCACAGCAAGTCGGGGCAGATCATAAGATTAGGACAGCTCTCCGTAGGACTATCGGGGATCTGATACAGATCTCTCTAGGGCGGGGCGTATAGGGATTGGATTCCCTAAGTCAACTGTGTAATACAGATCAGTACGACACTCACACTTCTACTTATCGTATGGCACATCGTATCTGCCTAAATGTATCAGGCTCTACATGTAACATTACCAAACCGCTCTCCTCTCCTGTTCTCGCCCGCCCGCCGCCCCCCCCTGGGTTTTGCCAGTCGAAGAGCTTCACAATCCGGTAAACTCACCGCTCAATTCTTCTTACTCAAGTAAGACGGTAACGCTGGCCTGCCGAGTCTGTCGTGTAAAGAACATCCCGCATCATTGCTGCGTACCCCTTCGTTTCGTTCCACTCTCTCCATCAGATTGACCTGTAGAGTAGTGACGTGGCATATCAGTGGCATAGCCTCCGAGCCCATCCTACCAAAGTACCGGGATTACCCACGTGTGCTTGTCCACGCCTCGATGATGTCTTCTCGAGCGGTATGGAAGAGCACCTATATAAGTGGTAGTAGTGGCAGTGACAGTGCTAGTAGTGATAGCAGTAGCGGTAATAGTGATGTGATACCCCCATAATGCAAACGGCCATGGTTCTGATATTACTCAAGTGAGCAGGACCGTGGAGCCGTTGTGGCCAGGCGAACGAAGCCGTCGGCATGGGTCATGAAGGGGGCCAAGGCAGCAGCGGCAGCCAGAAGCTGGAAGATCTGCTGGGAGGACTCGTCGGTACTATAGTCTAGGACTCTTCTCAACGTTCCGTTGTACCGATCGATTAGAGTACATGCGGGCGGATACGAGCGGATACATGCGGATACATGCTAGTACACACCGACCAGCACCAGCTACTGGCTCTCAGGCTTGACAACATACGTTCAACGAGGCAGAAATAGCATGCGAACCATGCCACGCATGCGCTTCCAGGCAATATGTCTGTACGCTCCGGGGGGGAAACCCTCCTGTTTCAAACCCCATCCCCTCTTCCCCCCTCTTCCCCCCCTTCTTGACTCACGTCAATGGACTCTCTTATTGCCGTCTCCCTTTTCTTTTGTTTTCTTTTTTATCCCCAGCCCTTTCCCCTCTTTTTATCTGATGGGACCTACGAAGTATTATACCATCCAACCTTTCTGGCCCTATCTACGCCGAAAAACGAGTGCGCCTACTGCAGCAGGTAAGATTATCAAACCAATCAGATCTGATCTGACTGGCTCCACGTACCAGCTCATGTGGCCCAACGCAGTAAGCTAAGCTTCCGTCCGTTCGGTTGCCGAGAGCAGTCAGTACAGCCAGCAGCCCTGTCCGCTTTCTAGCTCAATCCCTATTCACATTTTAACCTGATCTAGCTAGTGCGAAGCTGTTGTTCATCCGAAGCAGCCAGCTTTTTTGAAAGATCTAGCTATTTCTCTTGGACTGTGTGCGTTTACCAGATCGCTCCGGTGGGTCGAACCACCTCGCTCGCTTGGCATAGGGCATAGGCTTCGCATCACTTTCATCCATGCTCTCTACCTTCAGATTACCCTCCCCCCTCCCTCCACACACGCACACACACCACACTCTCTCCTCCACTGATACCCCACACACACATTTCGGCCCGGTTCCGCGCTGTTGTCTTCAAGACGTCTGTTGAGACGTTGCATCACTATACGTCACCGCTCAAAGTGATCGTAAAAACAGAGAGGATGCCCTCGACGCCCGAAGAAGGCAGCTGCCTGAAATTTTGATAAGAATGACATTTAAGCTCGATTCTTAAAAGAACTATATAAAAAAAAGAGAGAATTTGCCGAGTGGTCTAAGGCGGTAAGTTTGAGTTTTACTAGGTGTAAAAACCTTATCCGTTCGAATCTGTGACGGTTGGGTTCAACTCTGGGCTACAGGGTAGGCAGAGATGAGTTGTCGTTTTATGTAACGAGACAGTTAGGATGTCGTACTAAGCAATAAGGCAGTTATAGTCGTAGGTGCTAATTATAGAAGGAACTAGGGTTCTAAAAGAAGCGTTAACTATATTATTAATAGCTAGGTAAATAGTGGCTAGGCTATAGAAATAAGGTTAACTATATACTAGGCGATTATAGAGTAATGGTGTTAATCGGTTATAGCGATTAGTGCGATTTAATAGGAATCGTAGTAATCGCCCTTAAGGTAATTCGTGGTAATTCTTACTAAATCGGTATAATCGCGTGTAAGTGAGGGTGTTAATGAGTAGGGAAACGAAAAATGTGGGGTGCACGTGAAGGTCGCATAACGGGCCGTAATATCTTACCGAATCGTAATGCTCGTATATAAGTAAGTGTATTTAATAAGTAAGGAAAAAGGAAAATATAGGGTGTACAAAAGGTCGCATAACGGGCCGTAACACTACGACTATAACTGCCTTATTGCTTAGTTCGACATCCTAACTATCTCACCAATATAAAACGACATTATCTCTGTCTACCCTATAGCTTAGAGTTGACCCCAACGTCACAATCAGGCCGGATGGCTATACCTATATGTATACGTGATAACCGTAGTAACGATAGATTTGCGCCCTATGTGCTGCCATGGCAATCCATCAACCACCATTGTCTACAGCTTACACACATGGACAATCTGTACATTTAATAATAATAATAGTACTACCAGGTAGGGCAGGACGTCACCTAAACTCCCACCTGTTTATGCACTCCAGGGTAGTACTCTACTCGTGGCTGTGGCCCCCCGGCGAAACGTCGGTCCTTGCTCTTGCATCGCATACGTAATTGCCACGGTACACCGTAATCATCTCCATTTGTCACATTGTCATATCATCCTCCACAGAGCCCCTCTCTCCTCGTACATGTATAATCGAATCCATCTTTTCTTCCTTTCTTAGCCATCTTGCTGTTACAACGAAAACGAGGGAGAACCAACCTTGAGACCTTTTTTTTAATTCTCATCTTTTTCATGTGTGTATTCTAGCGCTCCTCCGGCACAATGCGCCTGGCTCTCCTCGCGGGACTACTCCAGCTCAGCGACGTCCGAGCCCGGAGCTTCAGCGTCCACGATGATCTTCTAGCATTTCCTCAGGTGAGCAGGCTGTCCTTTCCTACATCACGGATGCCCCCCCCCCCCACCCCACTCCCCGCGACTGCGCAGCTGACGCGACGTGTGCGGACTGCTAGTTCGACGTCATCTTCTCGGATGGATGGGTGTCGAAGAGCGATGCGCAGGCCCTGATCAAGGGCGAGGCGCCACCGGGGGCGACTGCATCATCATCCGACCTCTCGGAGGCGACGGCAGCACGGAGCGGCATCCCGGAAGACGAGGGCGGAACCGACGAGATCGCCCGCAGAGAGTACAAGATCATGAACCTGTCATCGCGCGAATACCTCTGCACGATACCAGTCCTGCAGCGACCGACGGGGGACGACCAGACGCTCAACGAGCTAGCCAAGGCCGAGGAGGCCAAGGAGCTCAGCCGGGCGACGGCCAGCGGATGGGAGCTGCTCGGGGACCTGGAGGGTCGCTGCCTCTACTTTGGCTCCGGGTGGTGGACGTACAAGTTCTGCAAGAACCGCGAGATTGTGCAGTTCCACGCGGCCGCCGTCAACGTGCCCGGGCAGCCGCCCCGTCGCGACCCGTCGACGATTGAATTCGTGCTCGGGTCCGTCCCCACGATCCCCATGTCCTCGACGTACAACCGACAGCAGCAGCAGCAGCAGAGCCACGACGGAGGCGGCGGCAACGAGGACGGGCAGCAGGACAGCAGCAACGACAACGACAACGACAGGAAACCCCTCCCCGCAGAAGTGCAGACCAAGGGAGAGCAGCGATACCTGGTGCAGAGGCTGGAGGCGGGCACGGTGTGCGACCTCACCGGCCGCGAGCGCACCATAGAGGTGCAGTACCACTGCGTCCCCGGGCTGAGCGACGCCAAGATCTCGTGGATCAAGGAGGTCACCATCTGCGCCTACCTGATGGTCGTCAACACGCCGCACCTGTGCAACGACGTCGCCTTCCTGCCCCCCAAGGAGACGACGGCCAACCCCATCAGCTGCCAGCCCATCGGCGGCATCGACGGCCAGCCCCTACTAGACGACGCCAAGGTTAAGATGTACAAGCCCGGGGCTGATGCGGGCGCCGCCGCCGACGGCGACAAGACTGCCGCCGCGGCCGCCGCCGACGACGACGAGGGGGGGCGCGATGATGTCGCAGGTGTGTCCGAGCCCGACGACGCCGAGCAACAACCTCTACCGGCTCCCCCGCAGCCCAAGGTGGTGGGGGGCGTGGTGGTGGGCGCTCGTCACGTGCTCTCGAGCGGGGACGAGGACGGCAAACCGCCCATGGAACTCTCCAGGCCAAAGGCCAGCGTGCCCAAGGGCGGCGGCCCAGGTTCAGGCGCGGCGGCCGACGAGGGGACGGTGGCGGAGCTAGTGGCCCAGGCGGCCAAGAAGGCAAAGGGCGGAAAGACGCAGGTCATGACGCCCGAGCAGCTAGAGGATCTCGACGTCGATCCCCAGGTCATTGCCGAGATGAGAGTGGAGGTGGAGAGGTTGGCGGGTCAGGCCGGCTGGCGCATAGAGATTGTGGATCTCCCCAATGACGATAGGGAGATTCGAGGCTACATCGATGACGAGCCGGAACAGGCACATGAGGCGGAGGGGGATGGTACGAAGAAGGATGAGGAGAGGCAGGGGCAGAAGCAGGGTGATGACGACGGGGCCGAGGGGCAAGGTGAGAGGAGGAAGGATGGCAGCCAAGAGCAGATGTTTCGGGACAGGGATGAGCTGTGATTGCTACTATTGTGCATCTGTATTACTTTTCTGTTCTCTCCTGTCATGTCCTGTTTCAGTCTTCTTGTCTTCTGCTTCTCACTCTCTGCAAACTGTCAATGAATAACAGCGATTGGGAGTTTGGAAGAAGAAGAAAGGAAGAGCGGATGATCCTTGGACCTGGGCTGTGATGTGTCGATTGCAGAGGTGTTCTGTACGGTAGTGGCTGGTGAGGACCTGCTGTGCTTCCGTCTCTGCTTCCGTCTCTGCTGAACCGAGTACGGTGGCGTCAGTATTATGTCTCTTTTATCATGCAAGGAGACGTTGAGTGTCTGGGTGAGAAGGTGTAGATCCGATGCTTTCATGGCTATCGACACAGGTAAGATGGTTAGTATTCCATAACCCAGCAGTAAGGATGAATAGAGTAGAACGCTGTTAAATGTACGGTCACCGACGACAAGTCATATATAAAAAATATGATGGGCAGGAGTCTGATGCATGCCATGGTCTGATCGGTTCTAAATTGACTGCAGATGGTCCACCAGGCAGGCATCAGGCAGGCACCAGGGCAGGGGAAAGGGGGGGGAGGCGGGGAGGATAATGTAGAAGACGTGTTCTGATCGGTGATGTGCATGCATGCATGCCAATATAGATGGGGTGTTACGAGACAGGATATGGGTCAGGAGATAGTATGATGATTATCATGAAGTTGACACGGTTTGCTGGGGTAGTTCTATTCCATTTCCATGAATTATGGCACGTCGCACACTATTACGACGCTACTACAGATCACATGCAGTAATGATACTATTGATGGTCTACATGTACTCGTACATACATGTATATATATATATATATAGGTATCTGATCTGAGCCGCTGGTAATCGTGCCAGCTTCTAGGTACTAAAAGTATAGTCCGTTCTTGTAGTGACGATAACGATGATGGCAATAATCATACTACGAGCATCACTACGGACAATGTTGAAGTGCCTGATCTGTACATCTTCACATGACGCGCACGGGTAGAACACGTGTGAGAGAGGTGGGGAGTGCAGGGGCAGCTGTGATGACGACTCCATCTCCTGTGCGAGTGCGAAGAAGAAGAATACCTTGTCGGTAATATTACCATTTTTCCAGTTCGGAACTGCCCAAGTGGAAACGACGGAGGAGGAAAAAGAAAAAAAAGAAAAAAGAAAGAAAAGAAGAAGAGAGACAATAAGAAAAGGGGAGAGAATTCGACACGCTGAGAAGGCGGACCGGGTTGGACAGTTTGGTGGCGCCTGGTAGTGGGGCCGCGGCCCGTGGCTGGTGGGACAGACAGGACAGTGAAGATTCGGCCCAATCTTGCAGGTGCTTTCCCGTCTTCCGTCTCTCCTCCCTTGCTTCCATGGTCCGAGCCTCCTACTCCGGTCACAGCAGTTGGTCTAGACAGTTCTTACTCGTACATGGCGGGCGGTCGGGCACTAAGAACTGCAGATGGTTGGTTTGGCGCGGACTGTGGGGCGTTCAAGTCTTAGGTACGTCACGATGACCAGAGCGTACGAGTACACGCGCTCGCACGCTGCAGAGGAGAGGAAAAGGCAAGTACAGATGAGAATACACGGGGGAGAGGAGTAGGAAGGACGAGGAAGAGGACGAGGCGCTCGTGGTAGGGGAGGCGGAAATGCTACAACGCTAGAAGCATCGCAGATTGCCACGGAAAACGGAAAATGCATCGCAGCCGGCTTCAGAGCCTCGAGCACGCCCTCAGCGCTAGGGGCGCATGCCTGCAAGATACGGAGAGTAGTTAAACAAATCTAGCTGTCGGCGCTAGCGGTAAAGTTACGTGTCAACTGGCCCTAGAAGTCTAGAAATCTAGGACGCTGTTTCCCCCCCTCCCCCTAGTTCGGATAGGGATATGTTTCAGTGCGAATAGGGAGACTCATTATATATATGTGACGAGTGCGAGCACAGGTAAAAAGGTAAAAGAGCCGACACGAGCACAGCCCCGATGGTAGTAGGGTCGATTACTTTACAAGTACAAGCATGTATTATCACTCCGTACGTGTAATCTGCATATGCACCATGGTGATAATGATGATACTCCACAAGCACAGCCGTCATAGGCCATTCTGATGTGAAATCCGTGTGATGGAGAGAGGCGACGAGAGTTGGGGACGGAAACATGACCCGGTGCCGCCCAAGGGTACGGATATGAAGATGATTGGTGGACGGCAGCCGATGGGAGGAAGGAGAAAGAAAAAGGGAGGGGAATTAGAGGGGAGCATCCCTGCAAGGCCCCTGGTAAGGTCCCTGCAGGGAAAGAAAGGGAAAGAAAGAGGAGAAGAAAGGACAAGAAGGACCGGTCCATATCATGCCTGTACATTATCCAATACTCCCTACAGATCACAGTGTCTGTAACCTGTACTCCGTACCCGTACATATCGTATAATATATATAATATATACCGGGGGTAGCATCCATCCCCCACACCCCCCCCTGTAATGTTGGCAGGCTCTATCACTGAAATCTGTAACGGTGGCATATGCTAGGGGTCGCCGTAATTGGAAGTTCAGGGGGTACCAGGGCAGCGGCAGGGCATCTTCCCCATCTCTCTCCTCTCCCTGCCTGTCTCTTCTCTCCTCCTCTACCTGTGCCTGTCCGTCTCTCTCTCTCTCTCTCTCTGGTACAGAGCACGGAGTGTACGTACCTGCATCGTAAGCCTCCACGATTCTGAACCATCCGACGTTCTAGCAGCGGTTCGAGACGGCCGGCCCTCTGGGGTTTGGCGGGTGTGCAGAAGTTGAAGCGGTGCGAGTAGAGTTCGCGATGGTCAGTGGCCCCCCGGTGGCTCACGGGTCACGCTGCCAGTATACAGGCACGAGGGAACCCACATGAGCTTGTCAGTCCCATGCCGGGTCCTGACCTGCAGTCTCCTGTACTGCAGATTACTCGTATATCATCATGAACGTTCTGCTGCAGTCTATGAGTATCAATCTACTCCGTAATCTGTATCTGTACATGTAGATGGGTATTGACAAGAAGTCGGCAACCGTGTCTCGGTGGAACTGTCCTGCTCGTCCGTGGTAGCGTTGGCCTCTGCCGTACGTCTTACCCGCAATGGCTGTTCTGCGATATGTAGGGTCAGGTCCCGCTCACTGGCTCCCGTCCATGATTGTCCCAATCCCTTGCGTCGGTAACTAGGAATCAGGAATGCTGTTGGACCAATCCTCGGTCAGACGGGCCAAAACGGCTCAGCCACGGCCATGAGTTGAATCTGATCGATCCACCGGCTGGTCCAGTACCCGTATTCACCTGTACGCATGTACGAGTGATGATGCCCAACACGGAGGAGGAAGGAGGGGGTGGTGTAAAAGGTGAGAGGAAAAGAAAAAAAAGGGAGACCAGGCCATGGAGAGGGAGGCAGACGAGGAGATATGGGGCCCACCAACAGACCAGTACATGTATGTGAATACAGCATCAGAGTGCTGAGCGGCCTACGAGTACGGAGTACAGTGCATGTATTATATAATACTGCTATGCTCAGTCGGCTCGTACATGCTCAATACTCCGTACTCCGTATTACCTGTATCCAGAAACTACTATCAACCCCTGCTCCTTCTTCTCCAAGACAAGTTAGGCAGCCTGTTACTCGTGATCCCCATCCTCGCTCTCTCTCTCCCTCCCTCTCCCTCTCTCTATTCTCTCAATCTACTCTCTCTCTTTCTCACACTCCCAGCCCAGAGCTTCTCTTCTTTCCTCCTCCTCCTCCTCCTCCTCCTCCTCCTCCTCTTCCTCTTTATCCTGCCCTTCTTCTCTCCTCCTCCCATCACTCTCACCAATCCACCTGGCTGTGCTTTGGTGGTTTCTCGACCTCTCCCTCCATTCTACTCAATTAACCACCACTACTAATACTACTGCTACTACTACTACTGCTACTACTGCTACTACTACTACTACTACTACTACTACTACTACTACTACTACTACCGTACCACCACCACTACCTTCTGTCGCGTCTATTCTTTTCCACACGTGCCATCCCCCCTCCTCGCTCCTTGGACGGCTGCTTCACGTCTTTTCCTTCTTTCTTTCCTCGGGGTTTTCTTTTCTTTTTTTTCTTTTTTCGCTTGAGGTTTTTGCATTCAAACTCAATCGTTCTTCTCCCTTCGCACTTAGCATACGTGTACCATCATTCTAGGCCTGCATGACCAAGAAGTCGCCCAGACGATCAGAATTTCCTCGAACCGATACCACCCCGACCACCATAGGCTTGAATCTTGAGACACTGCATTCCATTGCCCCCTTGGTGTCAATCTTGATCAACGAACCCGTCGACCCCTCTGTAACTCGGGAGAGAGGATCGGGAGGGAAAGAAGAAGAGAAGAGACTGGGTTGCGCGCTCTCCCAGATACAACACGCTTTGACAATCAGACCAGACGCCTGTCGCCATGTGCTCAGGCCCCGGTTCGCTCTCCCACGTTGTCTGATTCAGGCCGGCACCTACCTATCGACAGGCACGCGCCCGACTACCCTCCTTCTCTACGCGAGATCGATAGACGAGGTCTGCCGTCATGGATGTACAGCAGCAGCTTCAAGCCCGTGAAAGGGCAGGCTACCATCGGAGCGCCTCTAGATCCTCGACAAGTACGAGGATGACGTCGCACAGCGGCAATTCGGCTGCCTCGCATAACAGCTCCTCGTCGCAACCCCACGCGTCTCGGTACTACCATCCCCACCACCTGTCCAACGCCCCTGGCTCGCCTAGTCTAGTCCTGAGGCCCTCGCCTCAGCTGTCCCGGGAGGCTAGCATCGACTCCGGGAGGCAGACGCCCATCTCCTCCTTCTTGCAGGAGAAGCTGCAGAGGGAGCGCCAGGCCGAGGGCTACAAGCTGTCCTCCACACCCAGGCCCACCCACGAGTCGAGCGCCTACAGCGACATTGCCAACAGCACTGGAAGCCGGTCACCGTCCAGGCATCCGGCCCACGACCCCAGCCGGCCCCAGACCAGCAACAGCACAGATCCTGCTCAGAAGAAGGGACTTGCCCTCAAGGATATGGAACAGGTGAGTCCTCCGTCGCCCCCCTCTCTCCTTCCGCTCCCTCCTCTCAGACGGCGCATCTGTAGTAGCCCTTCTCCCTCGGCCTGTGGCATGTTGCTGACAGCACGACGGCCAGGTTATATCCGGTCTCCACAAGCAGAATTTCGATCTCAAACTCGAACTCTACCACCGCCGCGAGAAGCAGTCCAAGCTGGAGGAGCGCATCGACTCTCTGGAGTCGGACAAGGCTCAGATGGAGAGTGTTAACGGCAAGATCATGGCCGAGCTGGAGAAGCGCGACAGGGCCGTCGAGGAGGCCGTCGCTATGATCGTCACGCTCGAGGCCAAGGTCGATCAGCTCACCGAGGAGCGCGACATGGTGCTGCGCGTCGATGCCCAGCAATGGTTTGCGTCTGAAAAGAGCCATACCCCGCCGGCGCTGCTCCAGACCCAGCCCAGCACCCGCGACTTTCCCCACAACGACGACGATCTCCGGTCGCTCAATCGCATGCCTAGCTTCGTATCCGACAGGAGCGACCGGACCGAGAATCTACGCAACGTCTACCTCGGCGTCAGGGGCAGCGTCCTCAGCCTGCCGCGCGTGTCCGAGGGTCACCAGGAGTCGGAGGCCAGCATGGCTAACGGCCTGGCCAGCCCCACCCTCAGCATGCTGAGCGAGAGCTCCTTCACCAGCGTCTACGGCCAGTCGGCCCACGAGAAGACGGTCCTATCCAAGATTGAGCCTCTGGCCCTCGACGACGACGCCGCCGTCGGGCTGGACTCCCACCCCCGATCTCACGACCGGCTAGGTGCTAGGTCCAGCACCCCCCGGCAGCCTGCGAGGTGCCCGCCTCCGTCTCGGACGAGTACGGGCGGGCAGTTCCAACCCTCGGCAAACAACACCCTGGCCAACTCTCCGCTGCAGAGGGTGGGCAGGCCCACGCCCTCGGTCTCTCCCAGGCGGGAGCCGGCCTCGGCCCCCACGATCCCTGCCAGGCACAGGAGCTCGTCGGGTGGCGGCAAGACGGCCGCATCTCCGGCCCGCCGGCAGCAGACGCGGGAGGAGAAGAAGAAGAAGGAGGCCCTGCGCAAGGTCGTGACGGATGCGGCCGCCGGTGGTGTGAGCCTGAACGAGCCGGCTATGCCCCCGACGCCGGACACGATTGCCTCGTCGACGCTGAGGCGGTACAAGGATTCGGACGACACGCTCGATGGGAGGAACGACGGCACGGAGGGACCCGGTCAGGAGAGGACCCTCCCTCACCCCCTCACACCACCCGTCGAGGCACCGGCCATACCCACCGCCAGGCAGGCAGGGATCACAGAGGAGAGGATGGCCGCCCACAGCCAGCAGCAGCCACCGGCAGTGAAGCGGCCGAGGTCTGCCGACGAGTCGACCGTGTCCCACAGGCGGGGCCGCGGACGCGGCTGGGGCGCCGACGACGGCGATTCCGACACAGACTCGTTCGATTCATCGCTCGACATCTGGCTGCGAGCCGGGTCCAAGCCGGCGACAGAGGAGAGGGTGTCGCCCGACCTCTTTGGGTTCCCGACGGATCCGTGCAAGGGAGGCTGGTCCATGAGCGCCATGTACGGCCCCAGCAGCACCTACGCCACGGGCGGAGCGAGCATCCACGCCAACAGCGACCAGCTGCACGACCTGTTCTCGGCCCAGCAGGCTCTGTTCGGCGGCCCCGCGCAGGCTGCGGCACCCGCACGGCAGCAGGATCAGTCGTCCCGGCAGGAGGAGGAGGGACCGGAACCGGTCCGGACCGGTGACGCCGCCACGCCGAAGCCGGCTAGCAGACCCGGGAACATCAAGGTTCCGCGTCGCCGCAGCCGTCACGCCCGGAGGAACAGCGACGACGGCCAGGCTCGAGCAGGTATGAAGACGCCTGTCCCTGCTCAGTTCCCGCGTCCTCCGCCTCAGCAGCCGGACGGCGGCAACGGCAACGGGACGCCTCAGCAGAGGCCCGGCCACTACCCGCCCATCGCGGGGCACGGCGGTGCGCGCAGCGGGCTCAGCCGGCTCTTCCGTCGTTCGCTGGGCAGCGCGTCACCGGCGCCAGGACAGCCGCCGCCGACCAGCGCATCCGACAAGGGTCCGCAGTTGGCCGAAACGGAACCTGCCTCGAGCAAGAACGAGCAGCAGCAGCAGCAGCAGCAGCAGCAGGGCCCCGTAGCTCCGGGATTGGCCAGCCGCAGCGGCGCGCTTGATGACGAGAGGTCCGGCTCCACGCCGCCTCCGATCATGCGAAATCATCGTTCCGGACGGGGCCACAGCGCGTCCGTGTCCGAGGTGGAATCTAAGCAGTCGACGGCGGCGGCAGCGGCGGCGGCAGCGCACGGTGACGAGACGGATGAAGCAGCAGCGCCCAGTAAGGATATGCCAACGCCCGGGTCGCCGCAGGTGCCTCGGGAGGGTGGGCAGCAGCAGGCGGATAGCGGAACGTCGGCTGCAGGTTCAGCGACGGGGTCTCGGAGGAAGTGGCTCCCACAGTTTGGAAGGACGGCTTCGGCCACTCTGAAGAATCGCGTCGGCTAGCTGTTCTGCCTCTTCAGGATGGGCCATGTGGCCGACGGACAGGGTGAGGGGGGGGTGAGTGATGAGCGTGAGTGATGGGTCCGGAAAGAGTATTACTGTATGATGTTCATCGTGGATCACGGGAACAGGAAAGTAGAAGGCTTTCCTATCTCCTGCGTTGTGATGTCTGTCTCTCTTCTTCTCTGTATCTTCTAAGCATTGGAGTTTTTTTGGTGTAATATTGGTTATTGGATCGGGATTGGGATTGGCTGTGCATTGATCGGGAAGAGGACCTGGGGTTCGTAGCAAGGAAAAGAAGGCTGTGGAGCAGGACTTTGGCCTCCTACCTCGAAGCCAGACCGGAAGGGATATATATACCCTAGAAGGGTGTAGATAGACTGCAGACTGGGAGTGACGGGGGTAGCTGTGCAAGTCTGGTATAACCTGAATGGAGTGATTCTACTGGTGATATCCTCTCTCTCCATTTTGGTATGCTCTCTTCTCTACTCTACAACTTGACATTCAGGTGACCAAGGACGGGACGGGGTGTGATCTCTTGTATGCTGTGACGTTGATTCCATCTCCTCCAAGGGAGGGGACAGACAGAGTGTACTTAAATAGGTTCGAAGATGTAGACAGAAGAATAGATAGAGAAGAAGAGAGGGCAAAAAAAAGAGAGAAGAGACAAAATTTACGACGACGTGGGCCTGATTCGAACAGACGCTCCCGAAGGAACAAGATTTCTAGTCTTGCGCATTAGACCACTCTGCCACCACGCCCCATGACAGAACCCCGGCAGTTCGTCCCTTTTGAGGGAGCAAGAGGGCAAAAGGTCAATACCGTCAAGACAGGGTCGGCATGTCAGTGAATATGTGTCAGGGCTTTGGAAACGACGGAAGAAGAGACACGGAGAGAGAATCCAGTTGACTTGATGGCCGGTTGAGTATATGACCATGATGGCGTCACCACCCAGTCGAGAGTCTCGGAGAGTGTAATCTGTACTTCTTGTACCCTTGAAAGAACCCTTGAGGGATCGTCAAAGGGGAATATTTATTCTACTACTACGTAAGTTACTAATACAGTACAGCTCATCCACGGAAACCCACCATCAAGTCTAGCTCCATCCAGGTCTAGTGCTTTTTACAACATATGCCCGATATAGCTTCACGATTAAAAAAAAAACCCACCTCCCGAAGAAGAGAAAAGAGATGGACAGGAACACAATTGTCACCAAGGTAGAGAATATGTATGAAATCAGTCCACATCACCGGAATCACAAGTCCCATGTCAACCAACTACACAGAAAACGGCCCCCGTTACGGTCCTATCACATACGAGTCATCACGCAATAACAATCAATTATCTCGAACAAGGTGGAATTCCACCGGGACATTTTGTTTTTTATTCTTTCATCTTCCTCCCCCCCCTCCCCCTCCCCC